ATCGTATCAACATACAATTAAAATTATAACGTCTCAATACTACCTATAGTAATAATAATAATAGCAAAACAATTCAGTTTTATAGAAAAAAAAAAATATATATATATATTAAATTTTAAACAGTTTAAACGTGAGTATTCTGCGTAAAAACAATATTTTGGCACATCTTTACACTGTCAAAAAAATGTACATAAATTCTATTTAATTTCGACGGACATTTATTTTACGGATTTTATATTATATGAACTCTACCAGAATTATTATATTCTATATTCTAAGATCGCTGGAATTTTTTTGTATTTGTAATATCGCATAAAACATAAAAGTTTATAATATCTATTATACTATGATTATAATAATAATAATTGAGATTTGTAGTTAATCGAGAAAACGTTAGGTATTTGACGTTTATTAATATTAAGTGTAACTTGGTTTTCCGTAAGAGCTAACGCGCATAGGGTGAATCCATAATATACCATAATAAATTTGCATTAGATTGGAGACATTACAACAGCATAAAAAAAGTTGTAACGTCATCAGCAACCGATAATATAATTTATAACTATGGAGACCTGTTGAAAAGTAATGGATATTATTTAAGTTAAAAGTTGATGCGTGGACCTTTTGAATTTCGAAACGGAGTAAAAAATTGATTAGGTATATATATATCTTATATATAAAATTCTCCGGTCACAGCGTTTGTTATTGAACTCCTCCGAAACGGCTTGACCGCTTTTTATGAAATTTTTTGTGTATGTTTAGAATGTCTGAGAATGAGTCGTAAAATATTTTTCCCCTTCCTACCTCCCATTCATTATTTTTTAATCCCGATTTTAGTATTTTCATTTATATATATATATACATACACGAGCAACACTAAACAATACATTAATAATAAATACAATTTTTTTTGTTGATTTATGTTTCCTCGGTAACAGGGATGAATAACAAACACTGTGACCGGAGAATTGTAAATATAAGATTAGAGTTTTGTTTATTCTAGGGTTTCCACGAAAAAAGAAAACTAATAAAATTATTATTATTACTATTATTTAAATTATTCAAATTTCATAATAGAATACATTTAGTCCACTGAAGTTGGAATTTTCTATCTATTTTTTTTCATTCAATTCTAACCCGGCCAAAACTAAAAATGAATATGGGTAAAATAATAATACTACAAATTGGCACTGGCAATGCTGGGCTCGGGAGAGCTTATAACTAGGAATAACTAATAGTTATATATATATACAGTGCGTTCACGCTAAGAGGTACCACTAAATATTTCAGTTGGATGACATAGTATTGAAATAGAATTTTTGGGGAATGATAGGGAGTACTCAAATGCACATTTTCAGAAAAATTTCAAAATTTTACCATTTTGGTACGCGCATGTGCAATACAATTTACTTTTTTTAAATAGCAACACCATTTTTTTCTTCAAATTTGAATAGAGTATTTTTTTTAAAACAATTTTTGTCTAAGAAGTTTTTTCTAATTATAAAATTGACAAAGTTATGGTATATTAAAATTTAATATTTACGAATAATCTGTTATTAACGAAATTTTAACTATGTTCAACTTATACTCGAAAATCGACATGATATCTCCGATATTTTGAAACTCCCGTTTGCAGTTAAATATAAGACATAAATAAATACTTTTTTGTTTTCGTAATTGACTCTTATTTTTTTTATACATTCTTCCGAAATAAATTTAAGGTAATGTAAATTATAAAAATGTACGCACTATAAATTTGAAATTAAGATTTATTTATTTGCAACTATAGTTTTGTCAAATAAATTGTTCAAAGTTTTTGCCTTGGTGTTCCAAACATAATTCTTAATGGTTTAAAAATTATTTTATGTAGTAGCGTTATTTTGTCTTCTCTCAAATTATTACATACTACTCTTAATTTGTTTTTTAAATTTTGGACATTATTGGGAGGATCACATATGCAATATTTTTTAAATGACCCCATAAAAGGAACTGAAGTGTTTATTTGTGTTTTATCTGTCTACAAATAGGTATTTCACAATATCGGAGATATTACCATTTCGATATTCTAATATAAAAGTAGAATATGTTAAAATTTCATCAATAACAGATTATTCGTAAATATTAAATTTCAACATACTACAAATTTGCCAATTTTGTAATTAGAAAAAAACTTTTTATGCAATAATTGTTAAAAAAAAAAAAAAAAATCTATCCGAATCCGAAGCAAAAAAATGGTGTTGCCATTTCAAAAAAAATTAGTTATATTGCACATGCGTGTACCAAAAGGGTTAAAAATTTTAAATTTGTCTAAAAATCTGTATTTGGGTATTCCTTATCATTTCCCGAAAATTCTATTTCAATACTAGGCCATCCAACTGAAATATTTAGTGGTATTTCTTAGCGTGAACGCATTTTATATCATAATATATTATAAAACCTTTTTTTTTGTTACTATATTAAAATCAATGCATCCCAGTTAGGTTCCGTGTTCAAAAATCTATTCTAGTTAGGTCCCGGGTTAATTCGGGTACTATATTATAATTGGGTCCCGGGTTTCCACGAGTATTCTACTAGTTGGGTCCCAGATTTCCACAGGTTGTGCACTAGTTAGGTCTCGAGTTAATAACGAGTAAAATATAAGTTCTAAAAAGTACCCAAGTAGACACTTACATCAAAATGAGAAGTATGGGAAAAAAACAACGGGAATGTATTTTACAAAAATAACAAAAAAGGAACAAATTACTGAAAAAAACATTAACAACATAAATAGTTTTAACTTTGTCAAAACGAAATTAAATAACAGACTTTTAAAATTTCTTTTTACATTATATTAAATTAGTATTCATTGAACGACTAGAGGCCACCTTCTGAATGTTTTCCAAAAAATTAATTCATTTGACAAAATAACATTTTTTTAATCATTCATGTTATTTACTTTAAACTACAAACTACGGAGAGAATATGGAGGATAGATTCCCCCTCGAGAGAACTTTTTTTTTGTATAAGTAAGTAGGTAATATTGCAATTGTTTTATGTTAGTTTTTGTGGTTTGTTAAGTCTAAAATATTTGTTCAAATGAAATAGGTATCCACTATAATAACGTTATACTAATAAATAATTTGCATTTTTTGAAGTATAGCATATTAATATCGGAGCTCTTTTACAAACCAACAAAGCTTTTTCTGAGAAAAAAAGCAGTTTAGCAAAAACTAATAACTTCACTTAGAATTAAAATTTGAACATTAATTTGATTAAAAGATTATAATATATAATATATATATATATATAAAACCGTAAGTCGTATTTAATCGAATCGGTTAGAAAAACCGACAACATTTGATTAGACTGAGACAATATATTTTTTTTTCATTTTATCAAGAGTTTTATCTGAATTTTCCGTATAATAGAACTTGATAGGTTGACGTATTTTCTTTAAATCCCTTCTGGGTCAATTATATACGGACTTGTTCACATTTTGATGTGGTATATAAAGACATTACATGCTTAATGAGATTAATATTGAATACAATCTTGTCTACATTGGATTTAGTTGTATATACGTATTAGAAATTTTTTTGGATAAACGCCAAGTAATATAGTTATATTTGTGCAGCACACATTTCATTCGATTTTCATCAAATCCATTTGTGATAGGTAAGATTAATTTGTTTTTAAAATTACTTTTGCAGAAAAATAATCATTTATTGTGAGCTAATTTGATTACTAAACAGTATCTATCGACTCGTTTAATTTTTTTTTTACCAAAATTTATATTATATAATAATTAAACTGGTCTTTGGATATTTAGTTTGATTATTAGAACTATCGTTTCAAATGTTATTACAGGCGAGCTAAGGTATATTCTATTTTATTATCACCCTATGTATATTTATTAATAATTCAATAAATAATAAAGTTGTAAAATTAATAAATTAAGTCACACAAATGCGGAAAATCGATGAAATGAAACAGTTTGAGCAGCAATGTAATTTTTAATTTAAACCCTAAATGAAAAGAAAATCTCGAGGAAGAACCAGAAAAATATGGATCGACGTGATGAAAAAAAATTTAAAAATTAGTTGAAAACTGAAATGAAGAGAGATTTAGTTTATGATTGAGACAGGTGGCATAGTGTACAGCTATTGTGGTCAAAATTTTTATTATAAAAAAAAAACCTTTCATCATAATCTGTTTCAAGTTTAATAATATTGATTTTCTATTCACTCTAAAATAATATGTATCACTGAAGTTTTTGTATTAAAAAAAAACAACACTTTTTTTCGAGCAGATAAATCAAATCTTTTCCTTAACTATTGAACTATTGAACTCCCTAGTTACCCGCCCTCCTACCATTGAGAGTATTTTTTATATGAAATATAATATTTCGTTATAAAATCTACCAATCATTTACCATTTATTTTATAGTGGATACACAGTATCTAAGCAAAACATTACTCTACGGAGTGACTTTAATGTGTGTTAAAAATCAAAATACACATCAGAATGTATTTTTGTAAAAGTCAGTTTTTATCACATGATTGCCGTTAACGTACTATAAATTATTGATTGTTGATTTTTAGCTTTAACCATTTAATATCATTAATGTTCCATTCTAACTATATAATTCACTGAACAGTTGCTGTGCGTAATAATAATTGTTTAAATGTTAAAAACAAACTAAAACTTGGGTTAAAATGTTTGTTTAGTTAAAATTCGTGTGTAAAAAAAAAGTTTTGGTCATAAAGATTTACAGCATTTGGATATAGCATTAGCCATTTAAACATTTCAATGACCACTATAACATGTTATGTAGTATGTAATGAGTATACAATTATAGTTATATTATAATTAGAACTCAAATGTTGTATGCCATTTTAAATGTTTTATTGAGCTATATCCGAACTTTAGTTTTAATAATAGATTATACAGTTTTATATTATTTGATCGGTTATTATAAATGTTAATACATATAATGACATTGTAACGTGTATATAATTATAATGTTATGCATATTTTGTGAATTGTTAACAGCGAGATTGAACAGCGTGATTATACTGGAGCAAAAGGTTCCGGCAGCGGTGCTAAATGGTAGCGAGTACGTGGTGTTGGACTGCTTATACAGATTGAATCCGAACAAGACCGAAGGGCTATCGGTAACGTGGTATTTCAACAACAGTCCCAGTCTCACGTACCAGTGGATACCAGGCTTTGAGGTACAAACTATGGGACCTTTGAAGTCACACATCTTGGCGGGATACAAGGTGAACACTGACGACGAGTTGGCTAAATATAGAGCCGTATACATCATTCGGCCTACCATCGAGCTTACCGGAAACTATAAATGCGTTGTGTCCACGTTTTACGATGAGGATTTTATGATCAAGAAGATGACCGTTTACGGTGAGTTGTACACTTTGATATATGTATATGAATTTTTATTTCGCACCAAATAAATGGTAGTCAAACCGACATATATAACGCGCAAAACCAAAATTACATTCTATAGAAACGAGTGGTGTTTTTTTTTTTTTTTAAATTTTAAAATCGATCATTATAATAATTATAATTATACACCTAAATACTTTCTAAAGAAGGTTTATTTAATGAAATTCATTGGTAAAACTATACTCGCATTGTACAAATAATGTAATAATGTATAAATATTTATATTTTAAAATTATACAAAATATTTATTTTGATTTTTTTTTATTTTTAAATTTCTGTAAAACCATTTATACCTACGTTGTTATTCAGACTTAAAATTGCTCATCTTAATTTGTTTTACACTAGTTACGATCAAAATTCAAAAATATATAAAATAACTATATTATATCATTCTGTCCCAGTACTTGTTTTTATATCAATTTATTATTGAATGAGCGATCGACGACGTAAATAAATTCAAATGATAGATTTAAACGTTAATTTCGTTATCGAACCGTTGAACTATCAAAAAATGCTGTAAAGCCTTAAATTTTTTGGGATGCCATATTTCAATAGCATTTTAAAATATTATGCATTTAGATATATGTTGCAATATTGCTCATTATTTTACTAAATTATGGTAAAAATATTATCATCAGCTATGTCAAAATATGCCAAATAAAATCACCTTATTGGTTTTCGTTTCTAGTAAATAATATCTATTGTATCTTTTTAAGATAGATCTCAACAAATTTTCTAATTTGAAAAGAATTTTGATATTTACGTAGTTCTAATTATTTTTAGAAAATTATTATTATTCATTTTTTCTATTTTTAAATTCCAATCAAATTTGTAGGTCTCCATATGACTGAAATACAGAGTCAGGTTACTAAAAATTGTGTGAATAAAAATTTGTCAACTTCAAGTACAGAATTTGTTGATTTCCAAAAGTGTTTTTAGTTTTTATCCATTATTTTATCCTTCGATAAGTAATAAATTTGAGTATTTGACTATTATAATGATATATTATACATAATATAACGGCAATCACGTAATAAAATACCGAAAAATCTAATTAGGGTTTCCGACTTTAAAATCGTTAAATTGCTGATTCAGTGGTCTAAATTTCCAAGTTTTGGAAGGTGTCACTCTCATCCATGCATCCTTATCTTCGGTCCTGCTGAAATATAATGTTTATTGACAAATTTCAATCAATTCAAGTATTAAATTTGACGAAATATTCAAACATCTTCTAAAAAATCGATTTTGTATTTTTTAATAAACGATTTCTATTGAAGAACAAAATATATTTTAAGTACCTAGCTGTATTTTGCTGCATTATTCGTTGTATGCGAAATTGAAAATAATATTTTCACTTACACAGTTATACTCAAACAGCATGTATTTTAATATTTGATACAATACAATAAGATAAAAAATATTAATATTGTTTCCGAATATTTTTTGTATTACAATTTTTTGTTTGGTGAGTCTTATAACATCACTTAAAATATATCAAAACCTTGCATCAACATTATGTATTATTGACTGACACATATTAATATAGTTGGATTGTGAAGAAAAATTACATTGAAAATACATTATTATTGGAATTTATATTAATTAAATATTATCATTATTTAACTTAGTGAAATTAGTGAGATTAAACCTAAATGGTTTAATGATGTTTTTTTGATAATTCTGTTAATTTACAAAACCTGAGATACGCACTGTTATAATATAAACAATATTATTATAAACATTATTATATTCCATTAGAATCTAATCGTATTTTGTTACTTATATTGCTTTCGTATAATGGTTCGTATATTGTATACGCAATATTAAATATTTAAATTTATTTTCGAATGCGGTGGTTTTCTGGTTGTTCAAATATATTATTATTATTCGGAAACTGTTTACTTTTTAAATTCCCGCGCAGAATTATAAACGTAAACATTATCGTCTGGGTAACATTTATATATTATTATTGTTATTATTATTTCCATCACTTGTAGTTATGAGAATTTACCTATTTATCATTCTCTCGCTGAATAATTTCCAGTACTTTTGCAAATGCAATGCTATTAAATCCTTAATGAATGTACATCGTACATACACTTAAACACGCATTAGCTTATTTCTAATTTTTTTTTATTTATATCGGCATTTTTTACGGTCACTCTAAGTTATAATATTATTGTTGTTGTCACCGTTTTAATCTATGGAGCACTTAAACGATCGAATTAGCATAAGGAAAAAAAAGCGTTAAAGTGTTTTAATAATGCTAACCTTCCGCTCTCTAACTAAACAGAAAAAGCGTCAAGTATATAACAGATTAAACAAATCAATACGAGTTTAATATCGTCTATATAGGTGCTTAAAAATTATAATCAAAAAATTACAAGAAACCCATTTTGTGGGATTTGGTATTTAGTTGGTGTATTGAGAAAATTATTTTTTGACTCACTTTGAATAACTTTTGAATGTTTACCTATTTTGCTAGACTATCCTAAATCCCATTTACCGGGAACATCTATCCACCAAAAATATGATGTATAACAACTCCTACACTCGAAGTATTGTTTGGGCATCATTGCGTATTAAGTATATAAAGAAAGTTAATTTTATCAAGCACAACTATTAAAGCACCTCTAATATAAATTATTGTTTCGAACATAAGTTTTTATCCTTTTGAAGCTAGATAATATTTTTGGTGTACATACTTGTAGAAACTGGAAGTATACCTAATATTTTAAAAATGAATTGTAAATTAGAAAAAATATTAGTATTACAGTCTTTTAAAGCTTCAATTCCAGTTTTTTAGAATATCATTTGTTCGTTTTAAGTTTTGCTTTCCGAAATTTTAATCCAGCAATTAAATTATTCACATTTAAAGCAGGTGAATATAATTCAATTCAAGTAATTTTCTAAATGATATTTTCTCATTAGAGGTTAAACTGCATAGTTGGTTCTAGACCCTCTTGGCAGGGGGGGCAGACAATAATGTTAAAATATTAAAACTATATTTTCCAAATTTTTAGGGTAATTACACTATTAAAAATAATATTTTTTTAAACTAAAATTGCCATATTTTATTACTTCTAAGAATTTAAGTTATTTAAAATAATTACAGGAATTTAAAAAAATTATAATTTTGTTATTTATATTATCGTACACAATTTTTAGGCACATTATATGTTGATACTAAATTGATATTATTAATACATAAATATTATATATAATATATTATATTATAGTAATACTTATTATTATTAATTTAAGTATTTTACATGATTTAAAAGCTCTATGCGACGTTTAATGGCATCGATGTTTTAAAGCAGTGTTTCGCAACCTGTGGTCCGTAGACCACCGGTAGTTCACGAGACATCATGTGGTGGTATACGAGAAAATACCTGCAATTTTTTTTTTAAAAAAAATATGAATGTAAAGCGATAGTGATGGTTAAAGTTTATTACAACGTAATTTATACATTTATAGTACATAATGTCACTTATGATTATTTTACTTATTAAATAAAAAAAGTACAAAAGACATCAAAAATAATGCTCTGTTTAGTAAACTGAATAGTAGTCTTAAATTGCGATATTTACTGATTATTTCGATAATGATTTGAGCTAAGTTAAAACTTTGAACTAGACCATTGACACATTCAGATATATAAAATATAAAATATGTTACTATAAAAGGGACCAACAATAAATCAACAGGAGGAGCAGTTGCATACTCTGTAGTACTGTCTATAGGTTATAATATTGGAAAACAAACTTTGAAATCCTATAAAATATGCTATGTGTACATAAATAATAATTAAAGTTTGAATTTTAATAATATAGATAAATACTCATTTTTTATGTGAGTAATTCGTCAAATAAAAAATATCTTGATAAAGTATACATATTGATACTTTATAGTAATTTTCAACACTTAAATTAGAACTTAGATTTGCTGGATTTACTTGTCTTTAAGTTAATATTTTAATACTCAAGTCATTATCTATAATTACCAACATTTCATTATATTAAATAGCATCTCCGCGTTTTTCAAATCGCGCTCGAAACTAGTTAAAAGTAAAATTGATTATTTACTTTGACATCAACTATCAAGAATATTTATAAGTCGAATAAACTAGCTATTTTTTGAGGTTTCCTTTATGCTAATGGAAAAATACTATTACAATAATATTATACTCAAGATCGTTTTTCATTAGCAATGGTTTATCGTTGCGTACTGATATTAACTAAACTATTCTAAAAATCGTTCATTCCTCTTAAATCAACGGCACATGCATCAACAGTCTTTTATAGTTTTATCTCTTTTAAATTCGTATTTTGTAATTATTTTTTAGTCTGATATGAATTTCTATCTATTATAGATTAAATAATTCTTAAATTCTTATGTAGGCTCGACAAATCTTGAATTTGTTTTTTTATTCCTAAAAAAAATATATATATATATACTGATAAAAAACTATTTCAATTACGTACAATGGATGAAACTCGTTGTTTATGTCTATTGCAGTATTTATTATGTATATTTCTTGTGACTCTCTCTAGACAAAATGAACTTAACTCGGGAATTATAGTTCTCTTGTCAGGTGTACTGCAATGATAAAAGTTTGATTTAAATACGAAATCCAGCCGGAAGTACCCAGCCGAAATATTGAACCGGAAGTGGGTGTTTTTTAGACTTTGAATACCCCTAAACAGATCCCAAAAAGAAGTTCGAGTAGTGAAATGCTGTATATGCGTGCTGTTAATATCAATAAGGATATGCTTTTTAGGAGTTTCAACTACCCATAATATCTTTCGCCCCTGCTCTTTTTATACTCGATATAATTTTTTTGGAAGTAGTATTGTATTGTGTTGCATAGTATAATAAACTCGTAGTATTTGGTTATTTATTGTTTTATATATAGAAGTCAAAGAATGTTTGTTTAATGAAGAAAAAAAAAATAGGTGACGGAAAATTCAACTTTATATTCTATAGTTCTTGTTTGCTGCTCAAAAGTGTATTTTTTTATGTTAGCTTGAGAGTATTATTCGAATAATAAACGTCGCTATTATCGATGTCCGGACGGACATAATAATAACCAGCAGCAGAAACCATTCAGAATAATAATAATAGTTTATTCTTATCGTAGTAGAACAAGAAACGTAACGGTTTCGATTTCGACAAGCGCAAAGTAGTATTCGACTGAAATCTCGGCCGTCTTCTTACACGTACACAAATATCATTATATTGTATCTATACGCACAGGTTAGTAGATTGGAATATCTTGTTATTTTGACTTTGGGTATATAGTGTATACCCATGTGCATCGTCACAATAACGGTATGTGCCAGACAACAATCCGATGAGACGTTGGATTTGTTTTTTTTAGGGGTGGGGGAGGAAGGGAAACTGTAGGGTGGAGATACTGCTGCTTTCGCCTTCACCGTCACATATGGTCGAATTATATTATGTATCAGAGTGTTGTTTTTTCGATTACACAAGCTAAAACGTTTGGTTACTTTCCTCCCAAAATTTTGATTGATGGTTTTTTTTTTTTTTGCTTTTTTTTCTTTTGACATGCGAATCATTCACACACTCACGTCCGTTGCTTGTGTAGTATATGTGCATAGTCATAAATTGTTGTATAAGCTTACGCGATATGCCTGCATATATATATATACCTATGGTAAAACCATCAGCAGGGGGTGAAAATTTTTTTTTTATAAGCCACATCGGACGTAGATGGATAAGCGACGACGGCCCGTGGATATTGTGTCGTGTTGCCTACTATATATACTAGTTGTAATAATACTCGTAAGATAGATTATGTATAAAAATGAAAAAAAAATAACAATGATGTGGGGGAGGAGAAACAGAAAACACGATACCCTCGTGTGCAAACCCGCTACACGATTATTGTTTTACGTGGACCGTCAGATAACGTACAGTAGTTTTTTGTGATTTTCATAGGAGGTATAGCATTGGTCGGCAAGCTACTCATGAATTACTTGCGGGTAATTTATTGCAGGTAACCAGTAAATAACCAGTATATCAGTGTATTCTTGGGTAAATAATTAGTGTGATTATTAATCTACAGCAGTTCCCGAATTCTGTTCCAGGAGTGGAACAATTATGTTTGAATTCCATCTCAGAGGTGGCTAAAAGGTCAGCTACGTCTGAATTACGTCCTTTTTTTTTTTTTAAGTAACTATTAACTTTGTATTTTGCACAGCCTTAGGATTGGCAGCTCTGCTGGAATGTTTAATAGACTGAAATAACTTGCAGAAAAAGATTAGGACAATTGTTAAATGTGACTTATGAGTATTCATCCAATTTTTTATCCCTGTTGAAAAATAAATAATAATAAATAAATAATAAAAGCATCGTTAAAATACGTAATAAAAGCATTTCGTAAATTTTCCGGGTTTCCTACGTTTTTTCTCGGATTTTCCCAATTATTATGAAAACCAAATAAAAATCGAAAAATAACCACCCTAAAGTACTATCATAGGAAATTTCTTTTTAGAAAACTTGCTACACTTGAAAATCTGAGCAAGATTTTTGATAAAATTTGTGTACACAGTATATTTATGTATACAAGATCGTGATCCATTTAAGTGGGTACACTCATCTCGGAAAGTATTAATATTTTTGAAATGTTCTTGGTCTTGAAAATTTAAAAAATAAGCAGCTCTATAATTGTATATTTATGTTTATTTTTCACCCTTATTTTTGGGGTAAATCCACCACCTATGTTTAAATTTCAAATGACAACCTATATTAAAAATTCCATAATTACAGATTTCGTTTTAGTTAAATTAAATTTTAGTGTTCAAGTTTTTGATTTCCATCAATCCGTTGACGATATATTCCACTATTAATTTTGTATTGGAGGAGAATAGTGGAGTATAATTTGTGTGGCAGCATGGCAAGTGGCATGTTAATAATGCACCAAAACTCTCATTCAACCCAAAATTAAAAGTGAAACATGTCGTTAACGGATTGACGGAAATCAAATATTTTTTACACTAAAATTTGTTTTAATTAATGCTTTAATTTAATTTATGGTATTTTTAATATAGGTTGCTATATGAAAACCAAAATTAGGTAGTGGTTTTGCCCCCAAAAATAAGGGTGACAAAAAATAACACAAATAAAAAAATTGTAGAGTGGCTTGTTTCTTTAATGTTCTAGAAAAAAAATTCTGAAAAAAGTTAATACTTTCCGAGATAATGAGTGTGCCCACTTAACTTGAGCACCGGTATATGTATAAAAACATAATAAACATTTTAAAATCAATACACTCCTCACTTTGCTCAGAATCTAAAATGAAAAATAAATGTATAATAAATTTCAAAAATTGGAGTTTTCCATATTTTTTGTGGTGAAATTTTGGTGCTCATGACATTATTTCTTCTACTATTGATGTATATATATATATAATTTTATTAGATACTACTTTGTATTATATTTTAAATTATCCGAGTATATATGCTATGTAATAGTAAATAATGTGTTTATTTTTTTTACATGGTTTGTTACATTTTTCACTCGGTCGTATACTTTATCATTGAACAAAAAATTGTTAAAGATATTAACAAAATATTACGATATATATGTTGGTTTTAGTTTTGTTGATTTTTGATTGAATTGCTAAGTTACAAGGGAAAATAACACTACTGATATATTGCCAGTTTACTGAGCTCCGTTCAGAATCGTTTTTTTTATTGCGATGGTTTACCCTTAAGTCAAACATTTCCAAACTCTCTACTTACAACATTGGCCTATCTGTTTGTTATACTTCAAGTTATAATAAATGTATACACTATAACAGAATAAACAGAAATACGTATTACGACGGAATACAAACCGAATGAGTGATGTAATCGATCACGCGCGGTTGGCATAATATTATTGTCGTTATACTGGTCCTAAAATAATAATACAATAATATATTATAATATTTGTTGGTTCATGTGATATTGTGATATACGCTACAACTATGACAAACTATCACTATCGCTATGTACATGTTTACAGATCATTTTTAAAAAGTTAATAATGCTCACGGGTAAGCCATTGTTGTAGGTTAGTAGTTGTAAATTTAGGATATACATGGTAATCTAGTTTATATATTATATTGTAAGTAACGATAAATTACTGTAAACGAAAAAATGATCCTGAGCGAAGCCGTGTACAAGGGAAAAAACCTTTTTTTGTCAAAGTAATAACATAAAAATCTATACAAATTAAACAACAAATTGTTCAACCACGGCCGTATTAAAGCTAAACAAATATTGTGTACTAAATGCTTCGAGTTCTTAGAAAATTTATACAGTTAGATGATTCTATTTCATATTCGATATTATTTATTATGAAGAACGTATTATATAAACCCTTTACAGGGTGATTATTTTGTTACTGAACATTCATTATTTCGCAAAGTATTGATTTTTTTAAAAAAATGTGTTGACAATATTTAAGAAACCATGATTATCTCTAAAATGCTATATTCCCATTATTTTACGTCTGTTAACTTTTGACTTTAAAATCGTAGGCTACATTAAAAATTCTATAAATTAATAGAGTATTAGTTTAAATAAATGTAAGTATTGGAATATTTGATTTCCGTTAGCCTATTCACGAGATATTTCAATTTTAAGTTTGAGTGTGGGGAAATAGCGGAATATATTATTTGTATGGTAGCACAGCGCGTGGAATTAGATAGAACACACACACTACCACAAATATCTAGGTGTTATCCTATTCACTTAATTTTAAAGAACACTGCGCTGTCTTAAAATGGAAAATATGCACCAGAAATAATCTATTGCGAAAATTGGTTAGCTTAAAATGGGGAGCAGTTGGAATCTCAGCACTAGATCTATGCTTCTCGATGACCGAGTATGCATGTCCAGTATGGGATAGATCAATATATACTAAGCAAATTAATATTGCGCTAGATGAGACCGTTCACTTTATAACATGCTGCTTAAAGCCAACACCAATACACAAACTATATCTTTTATCAGAAATAGTGCCATCACATAAATCCGTAGACAAATTGAAGGGCTTGGTGCAACAACCAGATAAATACATTTTTTCCGAAAATGCACTTTTTCATTGATTATTATGTAGGAACAAATTACCTACATTTAGGTGCAATAACCATCTAAATCCGATAAATAAATATATAGTTTTTGATGAAATTAAATTTATCTTGTTTTTGTTTTTGGTGCAACAACTAGATAACTCCGAAGTTATCTGGTTTCTGCCCCAAATATTGTGGTCACACCAAATGATATTATTCTTTTTGGGTATTATTAATAGAATTAAAAGGTGTCAAAACATTTTTTTTTCTAAATTTTCATTGTTTAAAAAAAAATTATTTTTATTCATACTGAACAATTTTAAAAAATGGATTTATCTGGTTGTTGCACTAAATACTTCAATTGCTAATGGCATAGAACAGACGAATCAGATTTTGGATGAAAGACACCGAATTTATAATACACAATTGTAAGGTTAATAATAAGCCACTCTTAAAACTACCTATTTATACCATTATTTATTTAGCATATTGTTCCATATTTTTATTTTATTCTCATTATCTTGTTTTAATTTGTTCTTAATTTATTAATTATACTTGTTGACTTTTTGACTAACTAATATTATGGTGTGTTATCTATAGTTTATGTATAATGTTAGTTAAAATTATAAATTTAATTATTTTTAAAATGATCTGTTCCCAGATTTGTAAAAAAAAAAAAAAAACGGTGGGCGGAGTTTGGATAGCATTCCACTATATACTCTTCTCCTATCTAAACTTAAAAGTGGTGTATCTCGTAAATGGATTGAATAAAAAATGTCAACACCAAAATTAATTTAAACCAATACTGTATAAATGTATGGAATTTTTAATTTAGGTTTATTTTAAAATCAAAAGTAGGTACCTAGTCTAAGGCCAAGCGCTTTTTGTTTGGTATAATTAGTTTATTTTACGTCACGTTAGTCGATGAATCATTGATAAACATTAATATGATAAAGGAAATTATACTGATAATATTATTACGATAAACATGCAGTGTACACATACATAAAAAAGAAATGTTTATAGTTTTATTTTTGGCACGTTGTCGTTTGTTTTTGTTTTTTTGCAGCACCCGGTCAAAATTTGCGCATGCGTCGCATGAAGACCGTACATCGGGGCCAGGTCAACATATCCTGCACGATTTCTAAAGTATTTCCCATACCACAGATACAAATGTACATCGTCGTCGAATCCAATGGAACAACAAACAGGTAAATTACATTTTTCTTTTGTACCTACAGATATTATAGACTTCAGTGCCGTATTTACGGGAAGGAGGGAGATTAGGAGATATATCTCCCCCATAGACTTTTTTCTTTGTTACCTATTATTTACAAGACCACTTATTATTAAATTTAAATTTATTTTTATTTAAGTAAGAAAAATAAAAAATTGAATGTGTTGGCACCTATAATGAATGGTTAAAAAAAACCCTGAACGTATACTTTTTCTTTTTTAAATCGAAACCGAGATATAGGTTTAACTATAATATTATACTATTATACGAAGCAGATTAAATTAGTATAGGTACACACCTAAATAGTATATACATTAATAATAATTAATTATCTATAGGTAAACTTTATTATTCAAGTCCAATGAAAATTTTGCACAGTTTGAATTATAAATTACTTACAAAAATATTTTAATATTTTCAAATATAGTGAAATCTGTCTTAACAAATACCTGCACATAACGAATACCTCTCTTAACGGACAAAATAATAAAGTCTCGGCAAAAAGAAAGGCATTCCAATGTATTTCAACCTGTCTATAACGGACTCTTTCTATTACGAACACGAACAGTAATGATTTTTCACCAATACCTCGATATAACCAGGAAATAACCAGGAACACGTGTAAAACGTAGAGACTTCGTTTTCATTTTTTCTTGCAATGCTACCTCCCGTACCTATCTATTATGGACACTTGTCTATAACGGACATTTTTTATAGTTCCGTAATTGTCTATTATATACAGGTTTGACTGAAGTTCTATCTTTTTTTTATTAGCCTTGGCACAATTTATACAATATGCTACAATTTCTAAATTCAATATATTCTTCCTTAGTAAAATTCTAAAAACACCATTGATATCAATATATATAGCATAATTCAGGTGACGGTGTATTCACCGTGGGATATCATCACTGATTCTCACTCAAGATCACAGCTGGATTGAATTTTTATTTTTGGCTGGGAGGTGTTAAATTAGATCATCTATTATTTTTGTTAAAAACATAATTATTAGTATTTAAGTTGACATAATAAATAATACTTTTGAACCCCTTACTTCCATATTATGTCTTGCAGATCATATACAAGTTGTACTAAAATTTGTTGAGTGAAAAGTAAAAATAGTAAAAAGTAAACATGAGTAATATTGGAATTATTAAAGTATCATTCTGGTTATGGAAATGTATAGGTAGTCAAAAATAACTTAATAAACTTATATAAATTCCATGTAAGTAGATACGTTATCTTAAATTCAAGTTTTGAATTATCATTATTATTATATTCTATTTTCGAAGTTTAAACTTAGTTTTATTATATATTTCAGTTGACTGAGGTTGACTTAGCAACCTAAAAGTACTTAACACAAATTACGAGTTTAAACTATTATAATTGTATATATTTATATATATTATATATACATTCTATAACTATTATAGAATACCCATTGTAAATACTACTAAATATGCATACAATAAATTAAACTAAACAATATTAAAATAATTTTTGGTTTTTCATTTATAACAATTATTTAAAACACGAAAAGTTGTTGATAATTTGAAAAAAACTATACACATCTGTGTATAATATTTATATAGGTATAGGCTACAATCTACCATTATAAATATTAACACTTAGCTTTATTCAACGCATTAAAATAGTAAAGTTCAACATATTTTTAGATCGCAGGGTGTGAATTTAACAGTCCCTCTCCCCAAAAAAGCTGATACTAAGAATGGATGTGCCATTGTTGTGGGTGAAAGCCGGAAAAAAAAATCGGAGAAAGATTCTAGTAGAAAAGTTGTTGTGGAAATGACAGAAATTATGAAATTATTAAAAAATTATGGTAAAATTATATAAAAAATTATACAAAAAACAGCACGGAAAAGTAATAGAGAAATTAATAAAAGATTGACTTAATAATATAATACTGTTTCCGAAAAAATCAGTGAATTCTATTAAGTATAAAAAAAGCAGGGACGGAAGTTGATATAGTCGAAATTCCTAAAAGTTACATCCTTATTAATATTAACGACACGCATAAACAACATTTCTCCGCTCTAGCTTCTTTCCGGGATCTGTTTAGAGGTGTTCAAAGTCTAAAAAACATCCACTTCCGGCTCAATATTATGCTGAATTTCGTATTAAATTCAATCTGACTTTTATCATCGCAGTTCACTTAACAAAAGAACTTTAATTCCCGAGTTGAGTTAGAGATCATTTTGTCCGAAGAGAGCCATAAGAAATATACAACAAGATATACATAATATACACAGCAATAGACAAAAACAACGCGTTTCATCCATTATACGTGATTGAAACAGTTTTTTATTATTAATATATATATATATATTTAGGAATAAAAACAAATTCAGGATTTTTCTGGCCTACATAAGAATTCATGAATTATTTAATTCATAATAGATAGAAATTCATATCAGGCTATAAAATAATTACAAAATACGAAATTAAAAGGGATAATACTATAAAAGGCTGTTACTGTTAATGCATGTGTCACTGATTTAGGAAGAAAGTTGAAATGAACGGTTTTTAGAATATTTTGTTAATGTCAGTACACAACGATAAACCATTGCTAATAAAAAATGATCTTGAGCATAATATTACTATAATATAAAGGTAATCCAGAAATGAAAATAAAATAGCCAGTTTTTTTGATTTATGAAGAATATGTTTAATAAACGATATAAAATAATGTCTGTTTTTGCGTCCCATCGGTCTCCTCCATACTAGAATATTATGTTATAGTTATATCGTCGGCTACACAATAAAACTGTTGCAAGAAAACAGTTACTAAGAAAACTACAAGGAAAATCAAAAAATGACTACCTCAAAGCAACAAACAAGATCAAAAATTCCGCAAAAATGTTTACATTAAGTTTTTGATTGAAGCTAGATTTTTGATGAAAAAGTGGTTTACTGACGTAAATAACTTCTTATGAGGTTTTGCTGGGTAACCGAAGATATATCTACTTATGATACCTACTTATAACACTAGAATATAGTGTTTGTCGCAAGTGTAGAATGTTTTAATTAGTTATCCATTTAATCAGTAAGTTATTCTCGTAATGTGCAGACATTTACGAGGGAAAAAAATCAACGACGCTAAAAAGTAGGGAAACTTCGAGACAAAGTCGGGAATCGACGATAAATCACGATGTCGTCGCTTAAGCTTCTACACTCAGTATTGTTGACCGTCTATACAGTAAATTCAAATATTGATGAGATACGCCCTATACGCGATTTATATAAATTGTCGTAACCAATCAAAACGTATATATATACGTATATACGGAAAATGGAAAACGCACAACTACAGCAGTCGTATGTAATATATATATATATAGACGATCGAGGGTTGCAAACTATATATATATTCGCACGATAAGTATAATTTTTACACCCTCGAAATTTTCACAGAGTACAAGAGCATCGAGCAGTATTAAAAACTTGAAACGCGATATCGTTGGAAAAAAATATCACCGTTTTGACGATTTTAATTCTTTTACCGAAAACGTTTTAGATGCAATATAATATACCTAATGGTTTTGTTGAGGCTGTGTAAACGTTTCGAAGAGTTTCCTATACGGTAACTTAATATAATAATGAATGTAATTGAACACGTCATAATATACTTGAATATAAACTTTAAAGAGGTAATATTTATCGGGATTGTTTATTTCGCATTGTCAATAGCCAGACAATTGCGTTTAACTGAAAAATGCTGAAGATAGTAGTGACACATTATAGTATAATGTGTATTATACTATTAATTTTTTATATTTTAATATTTATACTGAACTGCATATGTTTAATTGTTTTATATTTTTTTTTTTTACATCAGCATATTGTCTTGACAACATTTTATATAGAATGTAAAATATTATCTGATCTGTGAGCGCAAGTCTATTATTATAAACAAATAAATAATTATAATCAAGGTGTAAAAAGCTATCCTAGGATAATGAGGACGGGCGCAGCCACTGTTGTAGGTAGGAAGTTTGGGAGGTCGAATACAGACGAGAATTTAATGTATATCTCTAAATAATGATAAACCATTGTTAACGAAAAAACGATTCTGGTCGAAGTTTAATTAATATAGTAATGGATTTTCAACAATATATATGTTTTATTACAGTGAAATAATAAATAAGCATTACATATTTTTTTAATAATATTTGTTTAATATTAATCCGATTTCCCCGTTTTTCCTACGATTTTCTCGGTTTTTAAATTTCCTGAGAAAACTCTTAGGGAGAAAATCGAAAAATGACCAGCCTAAAGTACCTTTCCAGTCAAATTTCCTCTAAGAAAAAGTGCTGCCACTATAGATCGGAGCAAAATTGCTAGTAGAAAAGCTGTTCTCAAGAAAAATATAAACATCTTTGTAAAATCATAATAGCTTCTTCGCTCACTCAGAATCTAAACAAAATTTAAAATGATAACAGAATTATTTGTATACATTTATTTATGTGTTTGCTCAATTATTATGAAAATTCCGGGGAAAAATCAAAAAACAACTTCCCTAATATACTACCTAAAAATTTCATTCCAGAAAAGATGCTACACTTAAAAATCGCAGGAAGATTTCTGGTAGAATTTTTGTTCACAATATAAAAAAAAAAAATTAAAAAATAAACATTATTGTAAAACCAATATATTTCTCGCTTCAATCAGAACCTCTAAAAATTGAGTGTAATGTAGTGGGTAAATTTTAGGAAATCGTTTACAATTGTGTCATTTCAAAACATGTTAACCTAAAATTTACTCAGAATCGTTTTTCATTATTGATAATATCGTTGCATAAACTACATACATAAATATTTAACTACTATATATACCTTCCCAACCTACCACTAATAACAGTGATACAACCATAAGGAGTAGCAGTCATTTTTTTCATTCATTATTTATATAACCACAATAGATTTGTAAGCCCATTCCGTTTACAGTATCTATAAGAAAGTTTAATTTGTTCAATTCGTAGGTTTTAGTTAATCGTAATGATAATTATAACGTTTCATAATTATTATGCATACTGTTAGGCATTATTACATTGTCACCATATTATTATAAAAATATTTCATTATTCATTGAATTTATCATCGTATATAATCGATCTTCGTGATTTTCTGGACGTTCTCAATTGTCAAGCTAGTATTTTAATACAACTATATTATTATTCTCGACTTTTTTTTCGGGGGAAAAAAAATAGAAAGTGTCGTTCGAGTGGTTTATTCAATCCTGTCGAACCATTTTATTTTCGATGATGATCACGATGAATTTCATTTTAGTATTATTTTTTTCAACTGCAGCGTATATAAAATAATAAATTATCAAGTTAAATTAATAAACGTTTTTAAATTTGAACTTTGGGTACAAACTGTACGTATAATATTTATTTATTTTATTTATTATTTATTTAAATTTCACGATGACGATAGACTAAAATAATTTTCCAAAAAAATTGAATTGAATTTAATTTTACATTAATTAACCTGTGTTGTACTATGTTTTTTTGTACAAAACACAAATATAAACACAATATAATATTTTAAGAAGAACAAATAATAGTATTTTTAATTTTGTTTAATCAGTTTAATCAGTCTTCCAGTTGAATAATATAGACTACAGAAAAAAAACTGAGATTTCATTAAAATTCACAAAAAAATTATTGGCAAAATGACAAATATTAACGGCATTAATAATGTTTTTATTGTTTATAATTTTTGCTTGTAACTTATGTTTTTTTCAAAAAATATTGCTCTAATAGATAAACAAAAAGAAACTTTTTTTGTTGTATCCTTAATCTAGTTAGTAAGTAGTTTTTTTTTATTTTCTCTGTAGTTGTATTAATAACTAGAAAAAACGGGGGAAAAAACGTAAATTGGACACTGACAAATATACAGGCGTAATGATTTCATTTTAAATAGTCATACTTTTTATTTTCTACCAGAAATATTGCTCTAATAGAAAAACAACAAGAAATCTTTTTTGTTGAATTTTTAATATATTTGTAAGTCGTTTTTTGATTCTCTTTGTAGATTTTTTTAATAACTGAGTAAAACCGAAAAATATTCTCCCCCTATCTTAACTTAAAAGTGAAATATATCGTCAACGGGTTAACGAAATCAACAATTCTGACACCAAAATTTATTTAAAGTTATACACCGTCTATTTATGAAAATTTTTGTATTGGTTCTCATTTAAAAAAACACTCTAAAAAAAGTAGGTACCACTACAGGATATTCTTTAAATACTGTAAAAAATCTAAGTATACAAAAATATCAACTTTAACTACACTTAAAAATTCCAAAAAACAGAATTTGAATATATTCAAAATTTAACAAAAAAAAAAAACAAAATGGAGTGAGCACGCTTAGTGAATCATCCTGTTTATCAATATCACGATTTTAATGAACTTTTTATAGTAACAAAGCATACAAAAAACTGCCAGTCTATCTGTCTCTCAGTCTCTCTGTATTATAGGAATTCCGAAATAAAATACTTTGGAATTAAGAGAATTAAGATTTTAACACTTTTACAAATTTCGTCCCTATTTTTGTATAGTGTTTACAGTTTCAAGCGATTTTCGTTGCACTGAATTGGAAAATATGACAATTGATTTTTCGAAATAACATCATCATTTGTGTTACTTTACTCGATTATCCTATGTACAGTGAAACCTCTTCTAACGGACACCTCTCACTAACGGACGTTTTTTTGTGAACGGGGAAATTTTCACTACTTTTTAATGGGAAAACTTCCGAATAGCGGACATTATTTTAATCTTAATATAAAAATAGTGACAACATGATGATACCAAAACGCATTCACATAGTATGTACCCAATTTCGTAATAATGTAAGAGCAATAACGAACTCGATAAGATTACAAATTGCGGACACCTATAAGTTATAACCTTTTAGAGTTCGTTTCATTAATACACATATTATGTGCATTATTAAAAATTATTAAAATTATTATATCTTTAAATCTACATAATTAGTATAATATACATATTTACATTTATATTTATACTACATTTTTATAACAATAAATGTATGTAAGGTTGCTATTTATGAATGTTTTTCGAGTACAAAATTATTATTTTTCTTCTCGATAATGATGTTCCGAGAAAAAAAAAAATATCTAACATAAGACTACAGTAAAACATATACAGTGAAATCTCTGAATAGCGGACACCCTTGATCACCGAATTTTTGTCCGCTATTCGGAGGTGTCCATTATTCAAAGGGTAAATTATTGAAATTCATAAAGGACAATGTGTAAAATAAAAACATTTGCGCTATGTTAAATTAAATTATGATATTGTTATAAAAATGTAATATAAAATATAAATATAATTGTGTTTATTATACTAATTATGTAGATTTAACGGTATAATAGTTTTCATAATTTTTACTAATATTCCTAATATGTACTAATAATACGACGTGTATTAAAAATATGTATTAATTAAACTAACTTTAATAAGTATCCACTATTTTAATTCTTATCGAGTTCGTTATCCTTCTCACATTATTATGGGAGTAGGTACATACTATGCGAATGCGTTTTGGTACCGTCATTTTGTTACTTAATTTTGATTAAGATAAAAATAGTGTCCACTATTCGGAGGTTTTTCTACTGAAAAGTAGTGAAAATATTTTCACTCCCAAAAAATTGTTCTCTATTGGAAGATGTCCGCTATTAGGAAGTATCTATTAGAAAAGGTTTTGCTGTAAATAACTTCCTCATACTTGACTCAAAAGGAAGGGGCTATATTTCCCCTGAAAGTAAAGTTCCTGAAAAGTAAGAACCCTTATCACAATGTCCAGGAACGAACGTACATTTCCGGAAAGTAAAAACCCAGACCGTACAATGCAGGAAAGTAAAACGCCGGAATGTAAACTTTCGGAACGTAGGATCCTGGAAAGTAAAAATCCAGACCGCGATGTTTCAGAATGTCGGAAATTCCGGAATTCCGGAAATTAATAAAACGGACCGGAAAGTAAATACCCAAACTTTACAATTCTGGAATCATAATATTACGGAAAAAAACCGTTGGTTTCTCTGGAATTTTTTTCTGTTAAGAACTTTTCTATCAAAAATTTTGCTCCGACCAAAAAAAGATAAAACACCTTTTTTTTTTTTTTAATAGAGAATGTTATTTAGTCGATGCATTGAAGATGTATTTTTTATTTTCTTTGTGATTTAGTTAATTGTATAATTTATGTTATTTTGTTATTACACTGGTAAACACCCAATAATTTAACACTAATTATAATATTAGCTATTACTTAATATGTATAAAGTCTGATATTACATACTGGTGGTTTTATATAAGAAAATTTTAAATAATTATATATAAAATAATAATTAAAAATTAATGTTGAGAATATTATTAAAATCTAATAAAATCTAAACATTTATAAGACTGTTTTATAAACATCCCAAAACCTATACATCCAGTATATTTTAATCCATTACTTCAGTAGCCTAATTCAGTATTTCAGTATGCTTTATGGTAATTCCACGTGGTGGTTATATTGCCGATGAAAAAAAAATTGTACAATATATTTTATTTTAACTACCAGGGCACAATTAGGATTTTTTTTGGGAGAAGGGGGTCTTAAGGACTATAGTCTCATTTGAATTCATTGTGTCTTTGTTCGTCCTAACCTAACAAAAGTATTATGTGAAAATTGCAAGTTTTTTCGATTATTTTTAACCAATTACAACAAAAAACCAATATAATAAATAATGAAACCGTTAGTACTCTCCAATTTTCCTTAATTATTATGAAAACTATGAGGAAAGTCAAAAATCTTCTTATGCACCAACTAGATTCAAAATGCTACAAAAAAGCTCTTATAATTTTTTGAATAGATAGTAATTTCTGTTTACACAAGAAAAAAATAAATATTGTAACTAATTTGGGAATTATTTTTTTTTAAAATTTTTTTGGAAATATACGTCCCGAAACATTGTGGTCCGGGTTTTTACTTTCCGACGGTTCCGGACCTTATACTTTCCGAAAATGTACATTCCGGATTATTACGGTACGAGCCTTTAAGATTCCGGAATTTTTCTGTTCCGGATAATTACGATTCACTGCTCAAAATCTAAAAATATCTATTGTTATAAACTATATTATTCTAGCAGATTGAATTTATACATACTGTTTTAAATACTTAAAATTTGAAATTTTTCAAAAAAACTAATCTCACGCAATTTTATTGCCGATTTTAAAGTAAGTTTAGGTTAAGGTTAATGTTTAAATAAGCTTATACCATGTTACTATTGAAAATATAAATTTCGGTAGAATTAATTTCTGTACTATAGTAGTAGTAGTAGTAGTGGTTAGTAGTACAAACATATATTTGATTATTATAATTTTCTATTTTCAGAAATGAATCTTTGCAAATCACCATGTTGGATTATCAAAACGACGACGCATTTGACGTCACAGTGTCAACTCTCGTTCCTGAATCGGAAATATCAAGCCAATCAGTATTTTACTGTGAACTCATCTTACCCGGTACTCCATACCACACTACAAAAAAGTTTATTAACAACATCGGTAAGAAATCTATTGTTTTTACTCTATTTCTGTTTTTTGTGTCTGTGAACAACATTTCTACCAGAAATCTTGCTCCAATATCTGTATCAAGTGTAGCACTTTTTCTGAAAGTAAATTTTATCTGGCGAGGATAAATCGATCTATCAAAGTCTAATACATTCTAAATCGTATAGACGCAACTAGAGCTCTAATTATGGGTGGGATAAATTTTAATGATATCAGCGAAGCCCCCACACCTTCAATATTAATTGTGAACATTTATATTTATATTGCTTAGAAGTCCTTACCTGTAGTCGTTAATAGTTGCTTTTGCAGTAAAATTGTGTCACTTACTACTTACAGACTAGCTACCTAAATATATATGAATAAGAAGGATATAAATATACAATCAATAAAATATATAGTTCATAGCTATTAAATGTTTATTGAAAACCTTACTTAACAATATTAACAATATTTGTCTGTCTTTTTCTGCAAATTTATTTACAATATTATTTTTATTTATTTTGTTGTTTATATCTCTTTTTATATTTAAAATAGATACAAATATAAACCGATTTTGTGCCATGAAAGATCTTAGTTAATTTTTTATTCGTCTTATTGAAGAGAATGATCTTTCACAAATGACTGAACTTATGGGAATAGATAAAGCCACTTGTAAAAGTTTAAACAAGTTTGTAAATGTTTGTTTTTCGATAACTTCTTTGATATTATTTATATTGAAATATTTTTATCGCATTTTAAATAAGGCGAATCAACGAAATTACGAACTGCAGTACTAGTAGTAGGAACATTAGGAACGCTCGAGTTCGTTTTTCTAGTATTAAAAATGCTAAAAATTATATTAATTATCGACTATTGTATAGTTTATTACAGTTTATTACGCGATATACATAATACAAATTGAAAACACGTTATAATCAAAATTCGCAGCCTACTGAATAAATATCATGTACTTATAATATATCATACATAACCGTGAATCATGATAAGTACGTATGTTTACAAAATGTACGATAATAGTAATAATACAATAAAATTAACTGGATAACGCTTAGAGTAATAGGGCCATAAGTGCTGATAACGTCTTATCAGCGTTATACCAACATCTTAAAAATTAAAACTATTAAATACAACACATTATTTATTATACATCGGATTCGGGAAATACATTACGTTCAAATACTGGATGGGCTACAGACAAAACTGGGTGGGCTAAGCCCACCTAAGCCCCCATCCCTCAGTTGCGCCTATGCTAAATCGTAATCATAAATTATTTTAATTATGATATAATAGCAATACAATAACAACAATATTTATATTAGTCTAATTCGACGACTTTTTCTAGCAAAATTGTCTATAATTTCTTCGATGGAGACCTCATGTCACGATGAATGTTTAGTAATGATAACCAGTTAAGTCGATTTTTACTAATTGTATTTCTAAGATATGTTTTGAAGCATCTAAGTGTTAAAAATGACCTTTCCCCGGTATCAGTTGTAACTGATAAAGAAGCTAAAATTCTATATATTGTAGAATATATGTCTTCATTACATTCAACTAAAGCAATTACAACGTTCTATATATTCAATTCAAAAATTATATTTACTATTCTATGTACGTAACACATCACATATTGTAGAAATCTGAAGTATTTAAAAATATAGTAAAACATATACTTTTGACATAAATATGGCCAAGGGGGGGCTGTTTTATTACCCAAAATACACCTCCCTTGTTACGCCACTTTCTTTTTCTAATATTCTAATGTCCGTCAAGTTGGCACCGGCACATTGTACTACAACTTCAAAAATATGATTATGATTTTTTTATATTTTACTACGGTATTTTCAGATTTTGCTACTGGCTGGTTTTTTCTACAGATCGGAAACAATCATACTGGTGCTAATTTAAGTTAGATTAAATGCTAAGTTGACGTAGCAACGGCACTTTCTTCGAATGACTTTAAATTATTGTCAAAACACTCATATGACTTTGCTACGAAATTTTTAGATTTAAATACTTCTTCGTTTTCCAGAATCCACAAAATTCTAAATACATAATCATACATTATAAATCATAAATACATCAAATAAACTATTTCAAGTTTCTACACATCTTAGGTATATATGTCGTTGTTACATTCGCGGTAATATTCGCGGTTTGTCATAATCGAACAGTTGTAGATAGGTTAATAATACCTTATAGTATATAGTAAATTAAACTTATATAATATTTAAGTATATAGTTTATACAATATACATACTATATCATAGTACGTATCTGTAGATTTTACAACTGTCTAGAATACAATTACACTTGTTATTGTCAAATCCTACAGTTTCACTCTGTGTATAATATTATACATACGTAATCGCATTATTCGAACGTAGATATATATATATATTATGAAACGTGATCCTTAGTGTCGTCGTCCTCGTATTTATCGAACAATGTGCACACTAAGCCTCACGCCATATAATGATTAACGCGTTATTTAGTCGGAAAATTTTCAATCAATTCCGGAATCCTTAATAGTGTTCAAGATAGTATTGTCTTAGGTATAACGTATATAATAAGTATACTATATTTAATAGAAAGATGCCACTGATTTCCACATACGTAGTTAGTCGATGGGTATGTAGGTATTAGATAATTAGGTAGAGGTTCTCGAAAATCATTCAGTAAATAACCTATATAGTACGAGTATATTCAGTATAGTCAGTGTCAGATTCAGATCTTAATTTTTAATTTTTTTTTTTTTTTTCATAACTATTTCCAAATAATCCAACTTGATATATATTTCACTACAATACGAGAAAAAAAACATACTATACTATGATTTTGGGGGGTGGAGAAAATGCTCCTATTACCTCCCTCTTGATTCTGCTACTGGTATATTGTTGTATTAGGTATAGGAACTTGGTTTATATGCAAAGCCGTTTTTAATTAGTTGTACATCGCAGATATGGAATATTTAAATATTATCGAGATAGTGATAATACTTGTATGTGGGTTTTATTATTCTTTAAAAGCACAATAATACTGGAAATATAGAATTATTCTGTATACAGCTATGCGCTACGAAAAACGTACAAGACCCGCAATTATATACTTATGAAATTTTGGTTAAGTAAATTTTATAGTGGTTTATTTATTTAGACATAATATATTATATACGATTCTAATTGAAGCGAGGAATATATTAGTATCGTTACTCGTTATTATGTATTTTTCCTTGTGTCTGAAAACAACTTTTACCTGTAAAAGTCTTCTGCTAATCATCAATAACTTTATATGAAATTTTTGTAGTGTATTTGATCCAGTGGGTCCATTGAGAAGTATATTTTAGATTCGGAGAGTAGCGAGGGATCTATTGGTTTATTTTGTAATTTTTTTTTTCTTTGTCTGTGAACAATTTTTCTGAGTCTACATAAAAACTTGGACGGTACAAATCTGGAATTTAATAGTTAAAACAACTCCCGCGCGTACAACTTATAAAGAACCTTGTGTTAAATGTTCAAGTATTTCCCCGTTATACAATTTTATATTCCAGATTTGTACCATCCAGATTTTTACGGATTCTAAAATTGTATATTTTATATTTGTATATTTAACTATGTATTGTTGAAAAAGCATCACTGTCAACTGAACTCCGATCACAATTGTTTTTTTGTAAGCAATGGTTTATCGTTGCTTACAAGTATACATTAAATCATCTATAACAGTGGCTGCACCCGTCCCCATTATCCTAGTACGCCTTTTTTTTTATACGAGTTTTAAAATCAAATTTTGACGAAAATCGTAAATCATTGTTTACAGGTATAGATAAAATAATTTCATGTATTCCACCTTCCTCACTGTCCCTAGTATCAGCTCATTGTTTTTTCTTGTAATTTTTTAGTACTCGAAATAATTGGTTATTTTTGAATATTTAAACTATGAAAAAAAAATACGACTCATAATGCTCTGCTGGGGGGAGGGGGGGGGGTGAAATATTAAAATATTAGGGTTTTTTTTTTAATGTAATAAGGCCTTGAAAAAAAAAACTGAAAATCCGAATCGTAATGTAGTACTAGATAATTCCGTTGTCGATCATATAGGTTTCAGTTTAATATTTCAATAAGACGTTTGAAAATTGGCTAATGCCAATGTGCGTATTTTTCGCTAAATCTTTTTTTGACATCCTTATTTATATTTGAGTCTATATGCAAATGTAGGCAGAATACATACTATATAATATGCTTATAGGGAGTCAGAGGTGAAACTGTCAAATAGTATCTATAGGTTGCAGGTATGTACACGGTTTATTGCTTTTTTTCCCTCTCGCTTTTTGAGAACTACAGTTATCGTAGTGACTAACACGGTTAATACCTACGTCGTCGTCGTGCCTACACATTATTATGTTATTACCTATATATAAAACGGAAAATCACGTTTGTCCCCCCCGGGGATAGTTACTCTATATTATATGGTGGTCTCTGTGATCTATATGTATATAGTAAATTGTTTGCAAACAGTTTGCCGGTGTTTAATCTTCGTTTATATAGGTATATATATCATGTACCATTCGTGTATTCTCTTGTCTCACGAAATAAGATCCGAACCGAGTTGTGAAGCTTTAACGCGTACCTATTATTTCCGCGAAATCCCGAGTCGTCACGAGTTGGGACCGATGTCCTGCAAATGCGCTTTGTCCGCCGAAAGAGCGTGTATGTTCGTTTACCTACCTTTATCGCGGGAATACAATTCGGTTATATACATCACCTACCCACTTAGCTATTATTAATTATTATATTGAATTGAAAACATAATTCTATGTTTTCCTGGAAACAGAAAAACCATGTATCACGAAAGCGACTTTTTGTCGAATTTTTCCTGAAAATAAAGATTATTACACTACGTTGGAACGGGGTTAAATCCGTCATAG